AGGGAACACAAAGTTATTGCGAGGGAACGCAAAGTTATTGCGAGGGAACGCAAAGTTATTGCGAGGGAACGCAAAGTTATTGCGAGGGAACGCAAAGTTATTGCGAGCTAACGCAAAGTTATTGCGAGGGAACACAAAGTTATTGCGAGGGGAACACATGTTAATGTGAGGTAACGCAAAGTTATTGTGAAGTAACGCAAAAGGAAAAAAATCCCCCCATGTCCCCACACGGCTCCGTATAAAATAGGAACCACTAGTGTCAGCTATTTTTCCCAACTCCTGAAGGATATTAGTGCTCGATCAAGCCATTTGTGCTGAATTACAACAAAAACAATTTGCAAACCTTCAGAGGAAACAGGAGTCTGATATTTTGTCAAAATGATTTATTCAAACAATTATTTGTTACATTTTTAACAAGTGTTTCATGTGTTGAGATTTATATAATTTGACTGTTTTTACAGGCATGGTGAAGCCGGTGGAAACAAACTGACCACCCCGCTCTGAAGAAGAGAGCAGCTCATCAGTTTATTCACTGCACAGCAGCAGCTTGGAAGCTTTTATTGAACTTATTACAGTTTGAACCACGCCGCCCACTTAGTGGCTCATGCACTGTGTTTGTTTCCCTACCTGTCCACCTYACACCTCAAGCTGACGCAGAACCCCAGGCACCTCGTCCCCCTTCCCCACCCCCACTCCCACCCTATCCCCAGTGATTCACCCCCTCCTGCCATGGTGTCTGGCACAGAAACGGTGCACTACATCCACCTGCACAATTCCAGCCAGTCCGTTCTGGAAGCCCTGCGCACCCAGCGGCGTGAAGGCCTCTTCTGCGATGTGACCGTGCGCATCCACGACGCCTCGCTGCGTGCCCACGCCTGCGTCCTGGCAGCCGGCAGCCCTTTCTTCCAGGACAAGCTGCTGCTGGGTCACTCTGAAATCTCCGTGCCGCCGCTGGTGCCTGCTGAGACCGTGAAGCAGCTGGTGGATTTCATGTACAGCGGCTCGCTGGTGGTGCTGCAGTCGCAGGCCCTCTGCATCCTCACAGCTGCCAGCATCTTACAGATTAAGACGGTCATTGATGAGTGTACCCAGATCATCTCTCAGAGGAAGGCGGCGGTAGGGGCGGCGAGCGCAGCTGCTGCAGCAGCCGCAGCGGCAGCTGCAGGGGCCGGAGCTGGAGGGGGGATGCTTGGAGGGGTTCTCCCAAAACAAGAAGAACGAGCCATGGGCAAAGGGAGGGAGAGTGGCAGCAGTGGAAGTTGCTCTGTCAGTAGTGCAGGCGGGGGCGGAGCTTACGCAAACTTCTCTAATTTCATGGCTGAATGTGGGGGTGGGAACATGGCAGGGGGCCTGGGGGGGGCCAACGTTGGTGTCAATGAAAGCGGCCCAGGCCCCATGGATCAGAATAGTTCTGTAGGTCTGATGGCGCTGGGCGACATGGGGCCCGGCTCYATGTGTGGCGCCGATGGTCCCATCCTCATGAAGCAGAGCTCCAGCTGTACTCAGGATGTAAGGTACAAGCTCAGAGACCTGCTGGCCCAGACGGCCAACGGTGCGAGCACCAGCAGCACGGGAAACCTGTCGACGGGCTGCGGCGGCTCCGCTGGGACCAGTGTGGACAGCATGGGCAGGGACGGCCTCTGCGCCAACAGGACCGACCTCTCCGATGACCTGGTGGGAATGGACCGGTACAGCGAGGAGGAGGACCTGGATGGGAGGGAGCCAGGAAGAGACGGAGACAGAGACAGGGGGGCGAGCCACAGCCGCAAGCAGAGGCAGCCGCTACGACTCCAGGTAGGGGGATAAGGGGAAGGGTTGCTATGGTTACAGCTTTCAGGCATGCAGAGCTGCAACATTTTCCATTTCTGTCTTTATATGCTTTCCCCTCATCTCACACTGCATTGGCGTATATCGCTGAGATGTTTCTGCACTTTGCAAAATTGAATCTGTCGTCTCATCCTCAGCAGTCACATCCTTGTTGTTGATCCATGGACTTCTGCATATTAACTGTAGGTCGTTGTTCTCACTGGAGCCTGCTTGTAGCTGGGTCAATGTGCTGCTGCTCTTAACACGGTTACAAACTGGACATGGTTTCTGCCCTTAAACATGACGTGGACTTGTCTTTCTTCAGGTGCTTGGAGGAGAGGGAGTGGTGGTGAAAGATGAAGGTGTGCAGGACACAGCTGGGACTGTCTATTCACTGGAGGATGGGCGGCGACATCAAGAGCAGCAGGGCCCCCAGGACTCCTTGGCCAGCTTTGGACAGGTACATTCATTTACAGGTGACGTGCAAAACCTTTGAACCAGCTTAGAAGTRTATTTAATAAAAATAAAAATACAGCTTGAACTGAAACTAAAGCCCACTTTTATTGARTATATTAATAATTTAACAACTACCACACTGAGAAGGACACTGTTGTGCATTTTAAATGTTGCGCTTTGATTTTAAGGAGAATTAATGTCTGCAAAATGTATTTTTCAAAGATCTGYTTGCATTTGGTTTCTAATCAGCAATTGTGTGAAGTCCTGAAGGAAGCACGGTGGAGCAGATTTATGCGGCAGCCTGCTGTACGTTGCAGACTACACAGGGAACATCTGCTACACAGTCAGTTTTCTCCCAAGCACTGTAGACTAGGTCATGATTCGAAATAAAAATCAGCCTCGTTTAGACAGAAAAAAACATTAGGAAATACTAACAAAGCACTGTGGGCAATTATGAAGAAATTCAATGTTTTTAAATATATCATTCCTTGAGGTATGGTTTCGTTATTACTATTATTATTTTACTTTTACAACACTTAGCATAATGTAAAACAACAGTTTTTTATCAAAGTTTTATGTTCATCGCTATTTCTTAAACTACATCCTCTGAAAAAAATGTTTTAAATAGAAATTGTTTAGTTTTTGAGTTGCAAATTTGTTTTTGTTTTTTTTAGTCCAATGCAAGAGCTTGTTTTGTAAATGTGTCTATTAGTGGCAGGCCATGCATGTAGTAGGGGGGGAGTATGGACCTGGCAGCAGCAGAAAGAGCAGGGGGGGCAGAACAAGGACAGGCTGCCAGCTCTGACACTTTACAGTCATATGAAAAAGTTTGGGCAGCCTTGTTAATTTTCCTGATTTATCTTTATAAATCATTGATTGTTTGGATTTAAAAAATCACTTAAATRTATCATATTGGGGACAAACACAGTGATATTTGAGAAGTGAAATGAAGTTTATATGATTTACAGAAAGAGTGCAATCATTGGTTAAAGGGGAAATATGTGTTTCTCAGGCATATATTTAAATACTATACCATAATAAAGTATCTATGTCACTTTTAGTTGTTATTAAAATGCTGTTTTTATGTTTAAATAGAAAATAAACTTATCTTCTCATCACTTCCTCTTCTAAATGTGTTGAAATTGGCCTCTGTCTCTTTAAGAACTACCTCCTGCTTCTGTCCCGTCACCGTCACCCGTTGGTGGGGGTCGCGTGTGCACTATGATGCAGTTTACATCTGAAAATACATTTCCTCAAAGGTATTTTTAATCTGAAAAGAGCTTCACTGAGTGAGAAGTWGTGGATCTCAGCAGACAGTTAGGTTTCACTTTCACTTTGCTTTGTTACTGCTGAGAGCCTGCAGGAGTCATGGGCGGGGTGTGTGGGGAGAGGGGAGCGGGGGCGCTCTGCCATGAGGA